CCCCAAAACCCCAAAACCCCAAAACCCCAAAACCCCAATAATTAATAATATATTTGAAAATGTATAAAAGATATAGTCAATTGAAGAAATTAAACTCAGACTTTCTCATACTTGGAGCAGGTAGGCCTCGCGATCACTATTTTTAGGAATCATAGGGCTTAATGTAGCAAAAGCTATCTATAGAACATATCCAAAAGCAATAGTCCGCATCATTGAAAAAGAACATAGTCCTGGTCTTCATGCTTCAGGAAGAAATTCAGGAGTCATACATGCTGGAATTTACTATTCAACAGACTCTATGAAAGCTAAGTTCTGAAGAGAAGGAAATAGAGCAATGACTCAGTATTGAAAAGATAACCATCTTGACTTCAATAATTGTGGAAAATTCATTGTTGCATCTAATGAAAGAGAGTACCAAGAACTCTATAGTATCTATAAACAAGGAATTGAGAATGGAATTGATATACAACTCATGAGTAGAACAGAAGCAATGAAAAGAGAACCCCTTCTCAGAGGGTATGGAGAGGAAGTTATTTGGTCTCCCTCAACTTCAGTTGCCAATCCAAGACAGGTTATCAAATGCCTCAGTAATGAGATTAGAGAAAAATACGGAAAATATTGAAGCCAATTCTATAATACAGAAATCTTAAAATTAGAGAAATCAAATCAAAAAGATTGAATTGAAGTAGCTTCAAAAGATTTCTTGTTTGAATCTAAATACCTTATTAATTGTACAGGACAACAAGCATTAGGAATATCCAAATAAATTCTTGTTTTCCAATTTTTACAACATGCTTCCAGTAAAAGGGAATTATCTCATAAGTGATATGAATTGAAGCGATTATGTTAAAACTTTAGTGTATCCAGTTCCGATGAAAGATGCACATTTCCTTGGAGTTCATTCTACAATTACTCCAACAGGCCATATTAAAGTTGGTCCCAGTGCAACACCTGCTTTTGGTATTGAAAATTACAATAAACTAGAGAAAGTTAAGCCTAATGATCTATTCGGAACAATTGGAAAGTATGCAAGTCTGCTTTTCTCCTCTCAAGCTGGAATGGTAACCTCTCTTGCTTTTCAAGAGCTTCCTAAACTTTCAAAAAATAAGATGCTTGAAAGTGTAAGAAAGATACATGATGTTCCTCCTTGCAATTACTCATGGTATCCTCCAGGAATCAGGTCTCAGCTGTATGATGTGAGAACCAAGAAATTCCTTTCTGATTTCAGGCTTGAATATGATGGGTTTTCTATGCATGTTTTGAATACAGTATCTCCAGGTTGGACTTGCTCTTCACCATTCGCAGATCACATAGTGTCAAAAATATCCAAGGTTTTCAGGCTCGATAACTAATAATCGAAGTATCTTCAATCTTGGAGACAAGAATTGGGGTTTTGGGGTTTTGGGGTTTTGGGGTTTTGGGG